TACTGTTAACAGAAGCCGAATGGCCGATAACGTGTTCAGCGATTCGTCGACGAGACTTTTATCGAGTGTACAACGTAAAACAGTAGATGAACTGGAGAAAGAATGTTTAACGCTAAGAAGACGCGTTAAAGAATTGACTGAACGCTCAAGGAAGGAAAATGTTGAACAGATCATGTTAGAAATAGCGGAACTGAAGCACCAAAATGCCGCTCTGGAAGCGGTCTTTCAGGTTCGTGTGCTTTCGTGATATTTGCAGATTTTTGCAATTATGTGGCGATTATTACTGAATGATATTTCACAGGGCAATGTGACCAGCCAGCTGGAAAAATTAGAAATGACCAAAGATATTCTGGAAATGATGAATCTCAAACTGGAGAGTGAAAATTTAGAGCTGCGGCTCGCATTAGAAAGATCGTTCTTTCTAATTCGGACACTCCGCGGTTGCGAGAGAAAGTGAATCATTTGGAAATGTGCTCTTACTAGAATTATCTTTCTATATCCAGAAAACACAGATAGGAATGAACAATTGATATCATTGCATATTATTATTATTACAGATATATGAAGTTATTGAAAGCAGAAAAGTCGTCAGACTCCTAGATCGTCAGATAAAGACTTGCCGGAGCCACGCGCTAAAAAATCTACCTTCGAAATGGAGAAAACAATATTTACATTGAAGCGAATTTTCGAGAAGCTTCAGGCGGAGAATAAAAGACTGAAATTTAGTTCCAAGAGAAATCATATTCTAGTCAATCAAGTAAACCACCAGCCTCTTCTTTCATATTGTATAATATATGTTTATTTTTTGTTACAATAAATATATTATTATGGTCACTTATTTCGGATGCAGGGAAAGATAAGTAGATTTGACATCGAAGGGGATACTTTACTCCAAAAACAATACGAGGAATCTCAAAAACGTTTGATAAGCTTCGAATTTGCGACTGGCTGAACAGAAAATAGTTATGTTAGAAAAAGCTCAGAAAGAAGATGATTACGGAGGCTTGAGAATTTTGAGGCAACAGCTAGTCCACAAGTCTGAGCTTCTGAAAAAAGTGAAACAGCTGCTGACTCGTGCAGCCATCAACGAAAAAACGTTGCGGCAACGTGTAAGAATTTAAATTACGCATGACAGAAAGATTAACTAACGCTAGAAATCGTTCGTATAATCTCGTTGTTACCAGGTGCAACAGCTGGAATCAAAGCAAAGTCTATCGACAATCTCGAAGTGTTATATGACTCCACCTACACCGAAATAATGGGTGTTCTGGAAATAAGCGG